GAAAATATGGCAACTTGTATTGCAACAAGGTTATTGACGACAAGCAACGATTGATGCTCGCTATCTAGCAGGAAATCGCTCAGACAAACAGTGAAAGACCAACATTGGATGACCAACCGCTGACGGTACTGACGTTGAAGTGGGCGTCAGCAGTCGGGGATTAGGGCTACACGGTAATCTTCAGAGTGCTCGTCATGAACATTCATTCAGAGATGTAGCCATTAGACGATTAATAACCAATCATGTCACATCATTACCGCCATTCCGAGGAACGCTAGAGTTTCCTGCTGCCGTCCTGAGGAAGCAGCACCGCCATTGTGCGTCTAAAACGCAGGACGGGGTCTTTGGTACCCCACAGCTCTTCCTCTCAGTTGTGATCCCGAATGAATCAGTGCAGCAGGACACAGAAGACCAGAACGTTAGTGAGGACGCTCAGTCGACACACGAAGGGCTCAAACTTCTCGCAGCAGTGGCCCATGTAAGCTACGACGCCTGGAGATACCTTCTTACACACTATTGTGGTGTGGTTCTCGGATACGAAGGGGACGAAACGTTTGAAGCTGGAATTCTAGTTCAGTATAAGTTGACCATGTACTGCAGCACAGATACATACGTTTCAGACCTCGTTCAGATGTGCGGACTCCAACAGCATCAGAATTATCGACGTATATATCTGGAGGCGTTAGCGAAGATTGCAGCAACGGACGAGGGGTTAAAACAAGGGAAGGACATTGTGATTCTGGTCAAAATGCTGTTTTATCCGAATATTTGGAACCGAAAATGCCGGTTGGACGAATTGTTGATGGTCCGAGACGCTATGGAACTGATAAGACAACAGAGGGCAGAGTGGGGAGGGAAGTTGCCCAGTGTGCGATGCACGTTCTTCCTTGAGCCCATGGAGGCGAGTTTCAATCAGTACGATATTGACATGGATATGGTAAAGATGCTGGAAGCACAACGGCTAGATGATGCCTGGTTTTCGCTTGAGTATTATACAAAATCGAGAGTCAAAAACGAACTAAAGCCTGGTATTGGCGCAGTTGATGACGTAGATCTTTGGCTATTCGAGCCAATGTCGAGATATCTCGCAGGGGAATCAGGTAGAGACTTGTGTTAGCAATGAGTCTGAAAAGCAGCAGCGCGCTCCTGTTTCTTTGTTCAGCACTCGGTCACTTCAGCCAAATGTATTGGTCGCGATGTATTCTGCTATCGTAGTGAGTCAAACGGTGACACAACTAGAGTTAAGTTTAACGATGGATTATTGGTGGCGATGGATGGCGTATACGTTCTTCTCAAAACGAGCAAGAACAACGAGCTTGATTGAAAACTCAGTCTAAGGGCTAAAGAGATGACAATCCATGATATCGAAGCTTTCCATGCGATACTCACTCAGAACATCCAGAAGAAGAGTTATTCCGCCTTCCACGGGGTTTGGTAGATGAACAAGATGCAATTCTGACTCCTAATGCACCAATTCGATGGGGATCTGATGATGATAACCAGTCGCAGCTCTTAACGACCTCTTCTTCTACCCCCTACGTGCCTACTATCAATGATGATGGAGCAAGCGAGTGG